TGGTGGTAAAATTACTCAAGTTGAACGCGATATGACCTCCTGTCTAAAGTCAGAGTCACATATCATGGTTAATACCAAATATGGCCTACTTATTCGTCAAAACCAATGCAAAGCAGCTTTTTTTGGTGACTGGCCAGAGGTAGGATCTTGCAAAAAGAGCATAGTTTATTGCAAAGAACAGATTAATGAAGTACAGAGTCACGATGTCACCACATAGGCCAGTCGATGACATGGAAATTTCTTATCCGCTTTCATTATTTTTCGGCAAAGACATATGTTTAACTGCTCAATGTCCAATGGCATGCCATTTAATGCAGATGCTTACCAGTCTAGCCGATGATTTAGCTAGGGCATAGCTACATTTCGTTGTCCTTACATTTCTACAAAGAGTAATAGATGAATATTGTCCCTTTAATCACTGTTAGGTATACATATTAACTCGACAATATTAATCTCAAGCTATGTAACCTCCTTGTTTTGTCTTCCCACTTATATGAATAAGAGATTTTGTCTCGGTATGTGTCAAAGTGTTGACACGATAGGCTAAATGGTTCAACCATGAGACTAGAAATGCGTGAGCCCGAGCTGAGATTAATAGTCAGAGAGACGAAAACCATTATTTCACCTGATTGGTTGACAGGCGAAAGATAGGGGGGATGAGTCAACTTGAACGCTACTTGGTTTATTCTTAATTCTGCCTAATGTAAAATGATACATGGATAAGCAGATGACTAACATGACCATAACCCACGAACAAATGGAAAAATGCACTTACGTCAAAAATAACAGTGAGAGTAGAAAAATGGTCTACAAAAGGTCATGTTTAAATTACAGTGGCTCTGGAAAAGAACAGGTTATGTCAATTAATGATAGGTCAAACGAAAACTTTCAATTTATCGTATTACCAGAGACAAAGCGAATGTTGTTATTTCACGGATTTTGGATTAAATTAAATATTATTCATAAAATAGCTCGTTGTTTGTCATTGCATTTTTATTCCTATACTGACTTAACTTTTCTCCTTGACAAAAAATATTGTAACTGTGTGTGTGTATGTGAAACTTGCTAGCGTTGCGATCTTTGCAAAACGTGATCAACCTGTTTAACTGAAATGGATGGAAAATAAAATGACGTCAAGTCACCAGTTAAAAACAATAATTATGACATCATTGATATCTCCCTCCGTAAAAGTTGTATGATCCCCTTCTAGGGTCAACATGGAGAAAGGATGATTTTCTGTGTTTCCGAAGTGATCCCAAAGGATTATATCGTGGTTCCACAGTCTTCCAAGTTACTGTAAAACCGAGGTCAAACCTGTCTAATATTTTCCAAATTAGTCCCAGTTTCCCATTTTTTCTGTAACACTCTGCAATATTCCAGTATGTGGTCGTCACAACTTACCTTTTTGACCTTCGAATTTCGTCCTATACATCACTTTCTCTCATCTCTCAAGTATGCTTCCACTGGTTTATAGCGAATGCTAGTATCAAAAATCGCAAACATATACTTCTTCATTGCTTTGAAATATTATCCAACTCGCTCCGTGATGGAGAATGAGTTGCATTTCTGTCTTTGGATTTCTTCTTTCTATGCTCTTCTGCTATGGTCTAAAAGCATCGAACACATTTTTCATTTTTATATCAAATATGATTTCTACTGGATGAATTTGAAACTATTCTGTAAACTAATAAAAAACAATCGAGAACTTTTACTTTTCTCTCTAGCTTTTCCTTGAGTAGTGCTCTTTTAAAGGAGTGCACAAAACTCTCAACCTGACCATTTTTGTTGCTATCGGGTTGAAAGGACATGTCTAACTCCAAATCTTCTGCATAAACTTGAGAAAACGGAGGATGTGAACCGTAAGCCATTATCTCATGAGTAAAAATGTGGAACTGAAAGACGATAAAATGATTGTCAGAATTTTACAATAGCGTTCTGAGAAGTAACTTAATTCACAGGCCAACCTCCGTAATGTAATGTTTGCTTGACTTGATATAAATGTAATCAGTCTTATGTAGCTACACCATAGTGTTTACGTTCACTGTGCACTTAAAGCTTTGAAAGTCGGTGCATTATGATCCAGGAGAAATCCAGTATTAGATATGGAAGTTCATAGGCGCTTTTAAGGTTTAGCAGACTTTCGAAGTAACAATTTCAAGTCAAAAGACTAAAATAGGACTTGTATTTAGCTAAAAAACTGTTTTTTTAGTGAAGTTTAGTGACTTTGAGCGGTTAATAGTGTGGTTACCGTGGCTTTTGTTTTGTGGTTTCGCGAAAATGAACTTTATTTCCGCACACTTTTTGAACTTTTTATTTGTTGCTGTTTTGTGGAAACGTTAACTACATTTCTTATTATGGCTGGAATAGGAATGGCGAATGAAACAGTATATTTATCAATATCGTATTAATTTTTCTTACATTTAGCATCACGTGATTGACACAGAAGTGTGTCAGTTAAATGTGTTTGTACAGGTACGATAAATTTTTAACCAAAAAAGAGTTTGGAGCATTCTGAATAGTTTAAGTGTTTGATTCACTTTTGCAGTTCAGACATTGATTATGTTGCGCTTGAAGGTCTTTATAACCTCAGGCAGAATTTCCGTTAACTCTAAGTTTCAGATCAATGGACATCTTTTTTGTATTTAAGACTAAATAGGCACCATACTTCAGAAACCATAACATTAGAAGGCAAGTTTCATAATTGTCGTGCGTTTGAACATCTAAAATGTAATCTATGATCGTTTATAAGCATGAGTAACTTAAGGTTTTTTTCAAGGACTTCATTATTATCACGTAATGATATATAACAGTAAATAAGATTGATTTGTTGTAAATATACCTTATGCAAAGGGAAAATTTTGCACCGATTTCAGAAGAGCCGTACCGTGTCATCGTATCAGCTACCTAAATAGAACAACTTAATCCAACGCAACAACCACACAAGTACCAAGAACTTTGGTGGACCATGATGAGATAGAAATGATAAAATTTCACAATCGCTCACAGAAGTAAATTAAGGTGTTAGGTGGTGAGTACACCCTGTGAAGAAAATGTATTTCATGACGTGTTAGTTACTGAGAAACTGCTTATCCATAGTCATCATTCAGAAATCCTTCTTATCAGTTCAAAGCATTAAAATCGAAGCCAAATTATAAGTAAGACATAGAATGGAAAGAAGATTTCATACTTAGATAATAATGATCAAAATGATCTTGATGGTGAACTCTTCAAAGTATGTGACTCCTTCTAAAACGAAAAGTACACTACCTTTAATAAAATGTAATTGATAGCATTATGAATAGCGTCTAACAAAAATAATGTTTGCCTGTACATAAAACTGTTTTGTTACATCAAATATCTCTTTTTGTGAATCAACGCAGTGGTCATTTTCCTTGTTAAGGTTTGAAAAGAGCTAAGTTAAAAGTTTGTGGGTCATCCGAAGAAACTTTGAAAACTGAACTTCTAGAGTGGAGAAAAAACATACAGTTATGTAACATGATGCAAAATCTGGAATCAGTACTTCTAAAGCTTGTAGCGTCAAATGCTGTTCCTGCGAAAACAGAAGGAAAAATGACCCGTTGTCATTACTGCAATTGACAAAACACAATAAATTGACATTTTAAAATAGAATAGATGGCTGTATTTGAACTGACTTTCTTTCTGAATAAGTAATTGAGAAACGTAGGTTTTGTTTTATAAGTATTTAATCCGAAAAACCCCGAATGTTATATTTTTTGCTGCAACCGGGAAACAAATATATCCAGTCGCAAGTTTACAAGTGATAGGCTCCACCCATTCAAAATTTACAGGGACAGATTTTCAGTTACTATTTATGCACAGCTCATTTCATGAGGATTAATGAAACACACTTTAGTTCATTTCGACGATCTTCCAACCGATATCTAAACATTTTTAACTGAGTTACAGGGAGTTTAAATGATTAGAATCTAGGAGTTTCTTCTCACATCTAACTGTGTCTAATACATCCGTCTAATATCTGCTATTCGGGAAATTTCACTATCAAATTTTGTCTGACTACTTGTTTGCTTACCAATTGGTTATATTATCAATAGAAAACTTCAAGCGCTAAATATTGTTCGAATAATCATGATAATTATATTCAAATTAAACACATTACACATAGATCTAATATCTCTGGGTATTCAATACCACATTTTTATTTGGGTTTCAATGAGTTAGTCCTAAGTTGCTGATTGAACTAGTATCTGAAAGTAGCAATTTATAATTTGGGTACGCAATATCGGATAAGTTGCATCAGAAATCTCAAGAACTTGTGGAAATACAAAGTTCAAATAGATACCTACAAACTATTCTTCATACAAACCGACACATCACTCAATAGTTTAGTAGTGCTTAATTGTTTGCCTTAAAAACTCTAAACATGGAAGCATTTCAGTTTAAAAGCATGAACTTTGAGGTAGCTCCTTCCATAAACGTCGAAAATTGCAAGCAATATCCCTATTGAGTTCCAAAATATTCATGTTGCTTACAGGTTAGTAAATAAAATTTCACAAAGTTGCGGGAAATGATGTCATCTTTAGCAATTAGATCCACAGCCAAAAAAGAGTAGTTTCTACTGTGACATTTTGTTATTTTTGCGGCTGTTTAACGTTCCTATAGCCAATATAAGGTAAATTGCAATGACTGAGCAAGTGGTAATAATCACACTACAAACAGCTCCATGCGTCCTGTTAAGTTTTAGTGCAGCAGTATAGCATAAGTTTTAGAAGTGTTTTATAATGCAAAGTATATGTGAAAAACACTTCTTCCATGCATATTTGTAGCTTTTCTGATATATACGGGGTATTATAACAACTTTTATGAAATTTGCTCAAATGCTATATCTTTTTAATGTACGTGCATGCTAGCGAAGACACTTATCTTTGAAACCATAATTATTGTTACAATAAATATCATGAATGATGTGAAAGTCTTTATTTTCCATTGCTCATTGTAATTCATTTTTTCAGGGCAGAATTATGCCTTCAAAGCCTGTATTTCTTACTTGCCATGATTTGGGCTGTAATCGTGAGTTATTATTTAATAACTATTTTGTATATTCTGAGAGGAGAATATTCATTAAAACACCTGATTATCAATTTAATATTATTTCTTAATTCATCAAAGTTTCTACTTTGTTCGCTGGAACAGTTATAATTTATATTAGAGTTGGTTGTTTAGATTTCATTCATGATAGAATCAAAATTAAAGTTCATTATGAGCTAATTAGTGATTCAGTTTTAGCTCATATAGTAAGCCGTAACTTATGATCCGTATGTGATGGTTATTGATTGTTATGCAATATCTGATTTGTAGTGTTACGTCAAAAAGTCAAGTTTAAACAAGTGAGTTACACCACTATACTAAAACTTTCTAGAAGTAGGTAGAATGTCTACTGGACGTTGTAAGTAAACAGTATAGTAGGCGCTGCTTCTCAAACTACTTTATATTATTTCTGGTTTTAAAAGCCTCAATTAGAGCAAGTTTGTTTAATGGTACAATGTTTGAAATAAATGCGTTATATTGGGATTTGATTGCCCATAGTTTTAACATGGTCTACTAAACTCTGGGATATATATATATATATAGCTTCATTTTTTAGAATGGTAAATGAATCCACGAATCATGGCTAACCGAATTATATATATAACAACTTATGGCAGTATTTAGATACATTAAAATAATAAACTCCAGATGTTATAACAAATGCATTCTAAATTCCACTATTAATAACCACTAAACTCAGAATTTCACTTCACTTATTCTAACTGAGATTATCTGCGCTACTTTCATTGTCCAAGTGTGTTGTACTCAGATATTTCGAACAAATTTTTGTCTATTTAACTGGCAACTCCTAGATAATAGAGCATAATTTCCACCAAAAATTTGATAGTTATCAGCTGTCTGACAAAAATAAGTTCAGTGTAGCACACCCCAAAAAGACTAACAAAAAGCATGAATATGGCGGAATTTAACTTTTGAATTGTGATTTTTAATAGGAGCAATAATTCGTATCACTTACTGGATAACCGAACTGAAAAATATCCGAAATTTTATGTTTAGATATACAACAACTTGATTATATATATGCCTTATAAACAGGAATTAAAATGTATCTACTTGTTGAATACCAAGAAAAAAATGTGATTAGTTTTCAAGCTATGAATTCTGAATCTTAAGCTTTTCATTTTTGAAAAAAATATAACATGACATTTAGTGAAATGATTTCTCTTATCTTCTTGAGTTTGTTATATTAAAACAGATAAGATAAACAGAATTTTAATTTAGAGTGACATGCAAAATGAACTTTTTAAGAACTTTTTTTGCAAACGTGTAAAAGGTATTTGAACTTTTTTAATAATGGGCTACATTGGGGTCCGGCATATATACTTCTTAATTGAAACTTATCAAATAAGTCTACCTCAATCCTGATGTTGATGTTTATGCTATAAAAGCCAACGCACTGTCAAATAAACCATTGAGTTGTGGTATTTATTAAACTTTTAACGGATTTGATATTTATGAATATTTTTAGGGCTTATTGTTTTGATTATCTTTGATCTCACTTTATCGATTCCTATCAGGACACAGGCCATAGGTAGATAACTTTATCCATCATCTGTATAAGATTTCCATCTCAGTGAAAACATAAATGCTAGACATATACAGCTAACGAGCTTTATGAAGAATGAAATACTTATCCAGATTTTAATTGGTATTGACAGTGCAATTTATTGAGACTGTCACATAAAGAGGTAATATACCAACAAAGCTTGTAATTTTCAGCGTTATTTTTGTACAAGTACTTCTTTAATACTTAATTGGCACTTCAAGTTCAGACTATTTCCTGATTAAACAAGTAGAAGTGACTGTTTTTCTTTACCTTGTTAGTTAAACTACATGTCAAACTATACAATGCTTCTTAATTGTTTTTTCGAATACATTATTTTATGATAAGAGATGTAATCCTCACAAGAAATTCCTAAGTTTAGTCGAAATTTGTGCAATGATTGTACGCATCTAGTCAAATCATTATTTGTGTATAGTGACGGACGTTTGGACGTAAAACTGCTTTTTGTGTAAAAATAATTAACCAGTAAAGAAAATTTAAATCTTAGAACACTAATTTTAAGTAAAATAATCCTGATATCATTGAAAAGGTCATCGGAAGTTTTTCAATTAAACCATCTGACATAGATAATGTTATACCCTCAAAAATACTTATGTACGACAAATATAAGGTCAAGGTGCTTCACCGAAGTATTAGGCTACTCTATTGACATGGTTAGCTTGAGGTTGATCAGTGAAGTTTAGCTAATACTCGAAATTCAAGCTGCATAGAATTGGTCAACGTTCAAACATAAACTTAATTCACCAATCAAGGTAAACATAGTGTCAGTATAAGCTCTATGATTTCAGCAATAAATTATTTAGACAGTATTAAAAGTTTTTGGATGGTTGTACCAAGTTTACCAATCTAATATGTACAGTTCATTAATTAGCGTAGGTAAAGAGGGAGTTTAGGATCAGAATTTCTTGTTGATAGTTTTCAGTAATCTTGTATCACGTATACTAGATTGTGATGTAATGCTTAATAATCACAATCCCATAACACAGCATTAAAAAAGATCACTTATACTATATGACTCAAACAAGCGATTCGATTATATCTCCAAAAAAACGTGTCTTCCCTTTCTCTCTGTCTCTATCTCTTACATTTTAGTTTTGCCTTTAGAACACTATGAAAAACAATCAGTGTTCGTTGATAGTCAGGACTGAAACTGATCAGTCTCTGTTGAGATATGTGTATGTTTTTTAATAATGTTGTCTGAAACAATATCCCTTAGGTTTTAGTTCTCATATGAATATTAACACATATACAGGAACATACAGTTTATGAGTCCCAATGCTGAATAAAATTTAAAAAACATCAGAAAAGTACTACGAAATCTTGTATAGATTTACTATAAATTAGAAAAATTGCTTAAAACTAAATATTAGTCAGTTTTATTTGTAGTATAGAACTTCCTTTAATTAATACTGTCCATACTTTGTTTTTTACTATAACTTTGTTTCTATTAAAAAAAAGTAAGGAATGACCGGTTACTACATGAATATGGTATTTCATTTAAATTCTTTGATATAAATCTTTATTTCTTTTTTCATTGATTTATGCTTAGACATTTTACTAGTAAATGTTATGTCTGACCATAAAAAATTACGTATATATATTACATTGAAGATAACATAGTTTATAGTAGACATCTTGATATGCCTATATGTGTAAATAAAACATTCGTAGTTTCTTGAGTATATGAAAGCCTAATTGTAAAACTTTTCTCTTTAGGTTGAAATGTAAAGTTGTAGGAGTGACATCCAGTAGGTTTTATTTCTATGCTAAACTACCTAGAATTTCTTTTAACATTTGTTTACTACTCTCCAAATTTTCAGGAATAAAAGTTATAGTTTTAACTTCAAGCTAAGTAAATTCTTTAGTGGCAACTGTCTCAGGAAAGCAGTAAGCATTTCGAAAAAAGTGTATGAGAAATTAGGACTTATTCAGTAGTTTGCATCCATCCCTTCAACTAAACAGTAATTATGTATTTACTTATTAAATAAGCTTTTTTCTCTATCTTCGTTAATTATAATACCGGAATGCAAATAAATATTACAAAGCATATTTGTTGAACACATTTTGTTAAATAAATATAATCGGAACACTTGATTATATATATTCTCTAACATTTATTGTATGTTCACTTGGTATTGTTTTACTTAAATCATCCCATTGATGTTTAGGCCTGCAATTGATCTTATTGGCGTATGTGCATATTGAACGTATTGCTTCGATATTTCCTTAATTCATAAGCATCATATACTGTATATGTTAAATAAGGTCAACTGCTTCAGGCCACCTGTATATACACTGCTTAATAATAAAAAAGTTAACTCTCTGTTGAAAATTCCTTGAAATGGGATGAATTTTTTAAATGAATTAAACAGAAATAAGTGAATGTTCTACTAGTTTTCCTCATAATATGACCTTAAAAATATTAACTGTCTTAAAATTATAGTGATAAATGCTGACTTGATTGTTAGCATTGTTGTTATTGTCTTCCTCTTGTTATATATATTTTGTAAAATAATTCTAAGTGGGAGATCGATTTGTTTATTTTGTATTGACTTTCCGTTTTGGTTATTACTTTCAGATCAATAAATGCATTAATTGACAAATGCCCTATGAAATAAATAGTTTCTCTCTTTCTCTCCGCCTGAATCTAATCATTTTTATGCTGAAATGAGAATATCTAGGGCACTAGTACGAATTTGTAAGAACGAATTTCAATATAAACACCCTCATTGTAACTATTTGGTCTAAGTTAGTTTTAATTCAAACATTTAAATAGTACCCAAAGGTTATCAATTCAAGTCTAACTAATCTCAGAAATTTTTCAGGAATATTTCTGAAGTCAATCAATTCATCGTCGACAATTCAGGATGTAGGACAAGTTTCAATTCGACAAACATTGCCATGCTTTACAATGATAAGAGATAAACAAGCAAAAGACCAGGATATTATATATGACTACATAAATGGTGGCGGTATACTTAATACGGAAAATGTAATTGAAAAAGTCCGAAAAAGTCATTAATGAAAATTATGAAATAACAACAAGCTGAAGGTTTCGTAGGAAGGGATGGAATTTCAGCCCCTGTATTACTAAAAACGATCATCAGTTATGTGACCTAAAATCTGTAGGCATAACTTATGATTATTTTGATAGATTAAATCAAGAAGTCTGCATATGCATACATGAGTTAGGCCTTTATTTTTTCATCTGGCTATTGTTACCCATCTGTAAACATACTATAATAGAAAAAACAGTACATTTTAATTGACAGTTGAGAATCTGTTGCAAATGTTCTGACCACCTGACTCAATGACGCCTCACAGTATATAAACCAACTCACGATTTTTATATATTACTCCTATACGGAACCTCAGCATTACTGACTTGTTAATTACA